TACTACAATCCGCCCAATGCAGTTAACCTTATGACCCGTGTAGCTTGCGGAAGTGAATACATATGTTGTGGAGAGCACAAGCTACCTTTACAATTTGGCAGGCCTTTAGACAAGCATAATTTAAAGCTCGTTCACCCAAAACATATCGGAATCGGCTTTTCCACACACCAATTGTTCTTTCAACCACACTTCGTGTTTTTGAATGATTTTCATTGAAAATTCTTTCTGGCGACCCTGCAGCTGCATTTCTATAAGGCGTCATAAGCCAAGGCTCGGGAGGGTAGCCAGCATCGCCTAGAATAATAGTTGTTAATATTTATTTATATGACACATGGTGCAGCTTTTTACTACCAATAAGCCACATGTTTGTATTTCCTTCTCTATTTTGCCGTTCAAAATGCTTCCTGGCACTACTTAACTTCCAAATGTGGCTATCATGATTATATCCTGGATACCGTGCATCTACTGCTCTTATTCTCAACTTATGGTCGCATATCTAAAATAAATGATAACGTTCCGTTCAAAAATGTATAAAAGTTACATACATATGTACATATCTACTTTGTATATACATTCATATTTATATTAAACTTACTATCATTACATTAAGACTATACCAGCCTTTTCGGTTGAAAAAGAGAAACGCTTTAGAGGAAGATGCTGTTAATATAACATGAGTACCGTCAACACACATTACTACTCCTGGAAACATTGCCTTCGGGTAAAAATCTTGTTTTGCTTCTACTACGTCTGACTCGTCCATAATAAAATTGATCCAGATTGGGCAAAGCTTCTGTTCAAAAACGTTTAATAGCAGCGATATTGTCTTCGATACTGTGGGCTGCGTCATTCCGACATCATAGTCCTTACCAACTTCGTGTTGATAGCCTCCCTCCGCAAAAAACCTCAAGCTACCAAGCGGCTGAGGCTCGTTATTGATGAACTCTTTGTCGGGCCACCGAATTCTTCATCCAAAATTTCAAGCAAATATTTAAACGAATCTTTGTTTATTCGAAAGTTCTTTTTAAATCTGAAAGAAAATTTGTTGTAATTTTTAAATCTTCATACCTATCTTATACTTACGCCTTAACATTCAATTGAAAGGGATCGCAGGCGTCTCTAAGTTGTCGTCGTTTTATATTTTCTGCGTTACTTCTCGCATATTCATCTTCTTCGATTAACAAAAGACCGCCAGCAATGGATTCCATTATTTTTCGTTTTTTTTTATTGTTTGTTGTCTGCCTTTTTCTTAAAATGATAAATTCTTGCCAACTGCTTTCTATTTCAAAATAAGCCGCCACATGAAAGATGTGAATGACAACTAACTTCGAAAATTCGAACCACTTATACATCTCCGTCGGCGAAGGGAATACAAATAATTTTTTCTTCGGAACGTAATTCGGAAATCGGGACTTTTTCCGACGGGGTGCAGAATTTGGCCCTTGGTTTTTTCGTTATCACCTCATCACAAATAGTGCGTGATTCCACGCCATACAACAACTGCTCCACCAGCATCCTATCTAAGAATTCGCCATATTCACAGTAAGCGGTGCCACTTTTCAAACGAAGTGCAAACTCTGAAATCGACTCTCCTTTCTGCTGCTTAATTTGTCGAGATTTGATACTTTCCGCATACTTATTTCGCGAGCCATCAAAGTGGCTAATCAAAACGGCTTTTATTTCGCTGTAGTTGAGCGAGTCCGGTGCTTTCGGGCTAACAAGAATTTTTAGCGCCGCGTTGAGCTCTGCCCCCCTGTGTATACGCACGAACTTGTGCTGTGCCTCTTCTGGCACTTTGCTCAACTGTAAAGCCCAATCCATACGGGTGAAGTAATCCTGCACTGAAGATTTGTCTTCTGATTTGTATTCCGCAATACTGAACGGTGGAGGTCTGGTTAACACTGGATGAATTGCATTTGCATTCGCCGCAGCATTCTGTGAAGTCTCCGTCACAGCTACTTGAATCGCGCCTGCTAGCGCATCCATTACTGTCTTACGATCCTCCGGTGTAAGACTCATCTTTTAAATCCAACTTTTGACAACACTTTTAAATATGAATGTTTATTTTAATTAATCATGAATATGAAATGAATAGTACATTACAAAGAAAAGTGTGAGAAACAATGCAAAAAAAGAATAAGAGAACGTTCTAGCAAGAATAGTTGCCAGATGTGCAAATAAAGATATTAATTCACTGTAATAGCGTTGCCACTTAATTTCATATAAAACAATAAGTAAAAAAATTGCACTAAAAAATTATACGCAGATATTCATACTGTCATTGGTATGAATTGCAACAAACACATCATTTTGACGTAATGTTCTCCACGGCGAAAAAATCAGAATCGCCGGTAACACCACCTTATTAAATTAGCTTTGGTACAACTAAATAGAGGCAACTACAACTCAGCGATTCTTCGTTAAGGCTGGTTTAAATACGTTGCGTTGCGTTGGCATTGGCCTCGCTTCGACAGCTGACTATGAATATATGCATTTATATGAAAGTCTCCACATAACCAAAGTTGGGCAACACCAACGCAAAAGCAACACAGAAAGATGGCCAACTCTCAACTTTTCGCGTGCGTCGTTCGTCAGCTATTCCAAATAATCAAAACTATGTGAAATAATTTTTCTTTTAAACAAATGCGGGCAAGAAATATAGTTATCAATGCAATTATTGATATAAAATTTTGATTTCTCTGCCGCTACTATGTTAGTTTAGTTACCAAAGGCTGCTAAGGGGCCATTGTAGCAAGCATGAGTGTTACTTGCGCTGCTGTCAAAGCGACGCCAGCGCTAACGCAACGCCAAGGTTGTATGTGGACGAGCCTTTATTTCCGTGAGCTATAGCAAAACACCGAATTAAGGTGATGTGACTTTTTTTTGTTTGCTTTCACTCTATTAATGTTTATCTCTACGGTTTTTTCATATTATATATGAGTGGCTCAGTGCCATCCTTGCCTAACCCTCGAAATTTCATATTTGGAGTTATTATGCTATACTACTTAGAAATACTCCAAACTATCCGTGCCAAAGTTGCACATCCCTAATTTTTGAACGAGACAAGGCTGAAATCTATGGGCAGTTTTGGCAATCTCAATATGTCAAAAGTTATTTGGGCCATTTCTGCCTAACCATCAAAACATGGCGGCCGCGAGCGACATGCTGTTTTCGTTATCCGACTTTTCAGGTGACGATAGTGATAAAGACAAAGACTACTTACCTTCAGATGAGGTCTCAGGTATGTCCCCACCTCTCTATAAATAAATGTTATTATTCTCATTCTTTAAATATTGTTTTTTCGCATATAAAAAAGATTGTGAGGGTTAGGCATTTCTGGCCTTTCCTAAATGGTGAACTGTTAAAATTAATTGCATAAGAACAGTTAACAGCATTTATTCTTGATATTACGAGAAAAGAATTTTTGATAAAATTGTATTATAGTTTCAAGTTCATGGCTTACAAAATATTTTATGTGTTTAAGTTAGGTTATGTTCCATTGTTTTGCGTGATAGGCATGTGTTGCTTTAACAACATTTGTTTCATTGCGTTACTTTGCATGATATTATTATTATTAGGCGTACAATTGTTAGGTGAAAGCCGATCGGGAGAGAATGACGAGCAGCTCGTGGAGAATAATAAAGGGCGAAAGAGAGTCAGGCAGCCTCACAAACATAAAAAATATATTAGAAAACTAAAGCGTGCACGTGGTGAAGAATATCTATCTACAAAAGGACGACTCATTCCACAAAAACGGTGTGACTTATCAGAATGTGGATGTGTACTTCACTGTTCTCAACAGATTTCTGAAGACCGAAGAAGAGATATTTTTAAGGGATTTTAGAGTATGGATGGGCCCATGAAACACTCTTTCCTTGCAGGTCAAATTGAGGTTACAGATAATAAAAGAAAATATACCAAAAATGAAAACAGTCGTAGGGTTAAAACAAGAATCTACAGGCTTCGAGATGAACAAGGGGAAGACAAAATTGTTTGCAAAAAATTCTTTAAAGGGACACTGGCTGTATGCGACGGAACCATTACATTAAAGAGAAAGCAGCAATCTGGTACGCCGAGAGGTGACTTAAGAGGAAAACATACTCCACATAATAAAACTAGCTTGGCAGATGAACAAAGGGTTTGCGATTTTATACAACAATTTCCATCGTACGATAGTCATTATTGCAGGCGAGATAGTAACAGAAAATATTTAAATCCAGACCTAAACATGAAAATGATGTATGATATGTATAAAAATTGGTCCATTGACAATAAGCACCATACAGTTTCCTTATTTATTTTCCGACACATTTTTAATACAAAATTTAACCTGCATTTTCACCAACCGCAGAAAGACACTTGTCAAACATGCGACGAATTCAAGCTAAAAATAAATACTTTGCACACAGAAGCTGAAAAGCAGACTTCCAAAGTGCAACATGACATTCATTTACGACAAGTAGATGTCATCCGGGATATGAAAAAACGAGATGCCGTTGCAGCCAGATCTAGCAATAATACAAAGCAAGTAATCGTTTTCGACCTACAAAAGACATTACCTACTCCAGTTTTGACTACCGGAGTTGTATACTACAAACGTCAACTCTGGGTGTATAACCTATGCATACATGATGAAGTAAATAATGTTGGACACATGCACGTTTGGGATGAACATATTGCATCAAGAGGCGCACAAGAAATCGCATCCTGTCTTTTGTACCACATAAAAAACTGCTTGCCGTCAACTACAGAAGAAATCACTCTTTATAGTGACAGTTGCGGGGGCCAAAACCGAAATATTAAAGTGGTTTTGGCTCTTTCTTATGTTCTAACGGGTGATTTTTTTGAGGTTAGGATTTTCATGCATTAGTAT